AACAAATCCCTAGGAAACAATACATTTCCTAGAAATTATACAAACATACAAACAATACAATAAGCTCTCCAAATGTACTCTAGAAAGACGAGAGGTATCAAATAATGCACACGAACACTATCCGAGGTCCACGATTGTTCAACATTTTCCCAGATATCATAAGAAATAATACCAGAACAAACGTGGATATCTTCGAGAAAACGGGATAGTTTTCTTCTGAAATGATGGACCTACGGGCCGATGTGGGCCTGCGGGCCGCTCCAAGAAACAGCCTGTTGGACCAAGCTTAAAGTCAAGCCTGGCTCTAAGCAGGGTTTTAGGGGTAGAATTCCCAGAACCCCAGCCAGGTACAATCTAGGAGCCAAGTCCAATTAGGGAAGACTTTAGTATGCCCCAAGGCTGTTTTAATTCCTGTGTGCCTCTTAACATATAGTGTCTATAAAATATATAGGTACATGACTGAACAGCAATATTTGCAGACAATATAAAAATTGGGCAGGAAATAAACTAAGATTCAAAATTGCTTCAACAATATCGGGATAGGCTTTGAAAATGGACGAACGATTGGCAGACAGTTTAATACTGAAGAAATGTAATGTTCCGAGGATAGGCAACGTACAAGGAATTGGCTGGATTGTGTTGAAATTGCTAAGTGTGAGTACTTAAAAACGTCTGAGTAATGATTTTTAAGGATCTAATGACAAAAATATCAATCAAATGTTCAAAATAAGTTAAATAGGATATTGGGATTTATTTATAAAAGCATTCGCAATAAAATTTATTTTTCAGCTATATTTTTTGTTTGTGTTTTACTTGAATTTACCCAAGAGCCACTAACATTAGTGGCCCCAACGAGGACAGGAAGCTGGCGGCTTGTCGAAGGACCCCCCCCCTCCCATTTGCCTAGATAGTCCCAATTCCTTGGTTATTAATTTTGTGGCACGGTCAGGCGAACTAGAATTACTGTATTTTGTGGGAGACCGAGATAGGATTCATTCATTTCTGTTCGTGACACTAACATTTTAGGTACCATTTAGGTTATGCAATAAAATTTTTGTCCCCATACTATAGAATGAATAATTAAGAGTACAGAAAAGGATGACACTTGCAGGATTTAAAACCTTAATTTACATTTCCTTGAAAGGCAGAGAGTAAAGGGTAACATGATGGAAAGTATACAAATGGATGAAATGGTACAACAGTTCAGACGTGGATAAATATTGGTTTGAAAACAAGGTGGTTACTTCGTTGCCAATTACAAAATAACAGACGAGCGATATCACTTTTTTTTAAGTGTAGGCTTGACATTTACATAGTTTGCAACAGTTTGGGTAGATATAAACAGGAGTCACCTTGTATGGGCCTACTGCCTGTAGGCCAGTTTTCTTTATTCTTGTAATGACCTTAAAACCCTAACCAAAGTAGCTAATGAGCCCAGAAGTGGGTTTTACTCTGCACTCAGTGGGTAACTTTGCATCTTTGCAAGCAAGCCTATAAATTACGAGACTTGCACGTACAGTTGAAAAATACTGAAAGATGAAAGCAAGCAAGCAAATTTTGGTTTGTTAACATTAATTTTAAAGTAAAATGGCAAGACCATAAAAACCAAGATTCAGTTGTACACAAGTATCCACAGGGAAAATCTTAACATTCTGAGCACTTTGTATATTAACACTTTAAAAGGAATGTTATTCCATGAAAGAGTGAAGGGGCTCCTATTTTCAATTCTGTATGTGGATACTTATGAATTAAGTGTAATGCCTTAAGCAAACCTTAAGTAGGCTAAGAAAGGGAGGGTATTATTAGCAATCCAAGGCAGCAGCCCAGACTTAGTAACTGGCAAAGTAATTAACCCTTCCCCCCCCCTCCTTCACTCACTCTTGATCATGCTGCGTCCACACAAGCATCATCTTCTGGCACCAGCTAAACTATTCAACATCAAAACACATTTTGTACAAAATTAAATTTGTTAAGTACAGAGAGGTTTTGGCATAAATTCTCAATGTATGTTCTTGCTTGTCATCTGGCCCCTGTGCTAGCTCTCTTGCTTTCACAGATTTGACATTTCACAATGTTTCAATAGGGCCAAAAGTGCAGGACCTAAACTCATTTTTGTGGATACCTATGAGTTCTATTAGTTGGTTTACTCTGAGGCAAGCTTGTCTTGGGACTGTCAGGCTTAGGACGGCCCACAAACACGCTATATTATTGTCAAGGGCAACCAAGGAGGATCAGAGGGGGTTGGTGGGGAAGGGAGGGAGGGGGTTGCCAAAATGGTAATATTTGGCACCACAATGACTAGTGACCATGGAGGGTGGTGTACTTTAGGAAGGTCCACTCACATTAAGGTAGGTAATAAGAAGGTGTAATTAAGGATAACTTTGAATATATAGAAAAGAGGGACTGAAGCACGATGGCCATTTTCCTCACCTTGAGTTACCTTGAGGTGGTTCCGAGGATCAACATCCCTTGCAACCCATTTATTGACTATGCCTCCTGATTGGTGGTCTAGGTCCGGATTAATCTGGATTATACCAGGAGTAGGTTATGGTGATGTTTCTACTCCCCAAAGCCTGGTCTGGGGCCAGGTTTGTCTTGTGATTATCTAGAAGGCTGTTGCTTTGAGTGTCCCCACATACCCACTACAATCTGGTGGTTTTGGCACTTCCTGTAGAACAATTTTTCCTCAACAGGTCTACTTTTGTTTTGGCAATATTTCTTATGCTTGCTGGGTGGATATTCAAGTCATGGACCTCCAATGTTCACAGATGTGGCACCACTATTCTACACTGGCTTTAATTCTGCATTTTCTATCATATCATTTGCTACGGAATCTTGTTTTTTTTTTCTGTGCAAATGTAAGACTTGGCCCTCCAGTATTTTCCAAGCACATATTACATGATATCTCTCTCCTCAGAGTTCATTTTGAGAGCTTTGAGACCGTCCCAACAATTTAGGCGCTTTGTCGTGTGTATTATGCAAGTTCTCTGTATTCCCCTCTATTTCAGCTATACCCCATCTCCTACTTTGAAAGTGGGAAGCAAATATCACAGTACTCAGGGTGGGACAGCACAATATATTTGAATAGTGTGGCTATTGTGATGAGATCCATGTATTTGAAGGTTATTAATCCATCCCTTCATTTACCTGGCCAACACTATTTACTTGCTTATGCTCCTTGGACATTAGGTTGTCAGACATTATTTCCAGATCCTTTATCTGTTGCTTGTGTCCTGTATCTCATTTAAGGTCTTCACTTTTTCCCATACTTAAGTACCTGGAATTGACCTCAAACATTTTCCACTTCCCAAACAATCGGCTTTTAGTTTTCAATGTTCTCCTACAGAATTAATTTTCATGATGATTTTTTAATTGTCTGCTACAGATGACAGGAAGCAAATTTGTATTTGATATACAAGAGAAAGCAGTGGTGCAATGACTGTACCCTGAAGTACAGAGCTTTTTCACTGTGCTTAGGCTTAATTTTATTTGATTTTTTTTGCATTCTGTGACAGAATTGAACACCCATCACCCAACTTCACCCATTATTCCTGTTGATCTCATTTAATGGGCTATCACTCTACAGTCATATTTTTCAAATACTGTACTGTACTTTGAAAGTGTGTATATGTACCACAACTCCATTTTGTTTTTGTTTTTCCCATATTTCCAGTCGAGCAAGTTAAAAGCATGATCTTGCAGTTCTAAATCCACGTTAATCTTGGCTGCAAAGGCCATTTTTCTCCATAAAACTGGAAATCTGATTCTTTATCACTTTCAGAAACGTGTTGCAAGTGGTGATAGTGCGACAAGTATCATTTTTAGCCAATGCTTTGCTCCCTCCCTTGTGCAGTGGAGTACATTTGCCAACTTTAGCACTTCCAGCATCTCCCCTGTATTCAAGCTTTCTCCACAATACACACAGTGCTGATGCCATTGTCTTACCACCTTCTTGAGGTTATCTTGAGATGATTTCGGGGCTTTAGTGTCCCCGCGGCCCGGTCCTCGACCAGGCCTCCACCCCCAGGAAGTAGCCCGTGACAGCTGACTAACACCCAGGTACCTATTTTACTGCTAGGTAACAGGGGCATAGGGTGAAAGAAACTCTGCCCATTGTTTCTCGCCGGCGCCTGGGATCGAACCCAGGACCACAGGATCACAAGTCCAGCGTGCTGTCCGCTCGGCCGACCGGCTCCCCTTACCCTTACCCTTCATAAAATATTCCAGATTCAATGAGTCTGGACCCAGAGCAGTGTGTTTAGCCATACAGTATTTTCAATTTTCATCGAAACGTGTCGTGTTTGTACAGTACATCTCAATCATAGCAGTTGTTAAACAGTTTATGAGCTGTGAAGCTATTTGAAAATTGAGATTTATCAATTACAACCATTTTAGATTGAGAATGTCCTCACAGCATTTCCAAGCTCTGTTTACATTTATTAAACGGTCTAAAAGTCATGATCAAGGAAAGACTTACAGGTTCCACAAGTGGATGCTTCATTAATCCTGGCTTGGATGCACTAGGGTAGGGGGTTAACTATTTGTACAATTATGACCCCCCCCCCCCCCCCCACTTCCCCACTGGATTACCCATTATGATTTTTTAGCCCCTTCACCAGACTGTCAAAATCACTAGTCCAAGTTAATTTTGTTTATTGCTTAGATAGTCCCTTAACCAAATGAAGGGGGGATGCATTCCCATTTTCTTAGCTCATTTGTGTTTATCAATTTAATCATCATTGAAAAGCCTTGGGAACAAAAAAGAAGTCTTATATAGATACTAATAAAATATTAATTTAATTACAAATTGTTTTAATAAAATATTTCATAAAAAAATTAACTCATTTACTAAATAATGGCTGTTGCTGTTTATTTGCTTCTGGTGTGAAAATTTAATAAAAATCCAATAAACACAGTGGATTGAGTATAATGAATCTTGGTTTCCTAAGCATGCTTCAAGATGGCTACTGGTGCATGGTAGAACACTGTACAGTACTAACCTCCTCTTTGGCAACGTCGCCGTTGGTGTTCTCAACTTTGGCCGCTTTCTTCTCCCGCCGGAGGAAGGAGAAGCTCCTGCAGAAGGGGAAGGGAAAGGCATTAACAAATGTTAAGTGGGGGTATGATCAACCAACCCTCAACAACCAGCCAATACCAAACTACTACTGGCCAGCAGCCTACCATTTCACCTTCCTACCCTACCCCCAACCCAACCTAGGCCCCAGCCACCAGGATGTGGTCAAATTGCATGAAAAATTACTCTAGTTTCCTGTAAATAACCATAAATAACAGTCTGTAGGGTTGGGTTGGATTGGATTAGAGTGCATTAGTTTGGTTTTTTAACTGCTGGTTAACCCATCTCCTGTATGTTGTAACATGTCCTGCCAAGTTACATGCCCATTACTAACCCTTAAAACTTCACTGCCCCAATCACCATATATGCTATTTCCTCCCCACCCCCTTTGATAAGTATTTTTAAACATGTGCACCCCATTTTAATACTCTACATAGCTGCATCATATAAAGATTAATTGGTGTGGCCAATTTAACGTCCCACATATACCTATAGCAGTTTCAGGGAATGGTTTAACTCCAAGCCCTTCCTGCCGTTTTTAACCAACCAAAAGAATATTAATACGTATCTTTTTTTTGAACATCTGCATTAATGACGTTCCATGCTCATTTTTGTATTGTCCAGAAAGGGTGACACGAAGACATGACAATTTTTCTAATATGAGAATAAGTAGTAGTAGTACAAGGAGTGCCCTGGAGTACAAAGCTTTCACTGTCCTGAGGATTTATTTAGTTCAACTTACGCTGCATTCAGTTTGACAGGAAATTTAAGATCAATTGCCCTACTTTGCCCGTTATCCCTGTTGATCAGCTTGTGGTCATCACTACTCCATGATCAAGTCAAATGCCTTTGCGAAGTCTTTTAGACACCTGTATTTTCCTCCCCCCACCCCCTCTCCTTTTCATTATTATGCTTAAGTGATTTTGTCAATGTTTCATTCACTGCAAAAACGCAGCATCTTTCCCTTTCAAATCCATTTTAACCTGGCTTGTCAAGTTCATGGCTCCCCATAAAAGTGAAGATCTGAATCCTAACCACTAATTTATGATTGTGCATCCTATCTAATTATTTAGCCCATGCTTTGTTCCCTCCCCTGTGTAGTAAAGTTATCTGCTAATTAAGCACTAACCTAAGTGCTAAGCACTGTCGCCTAACTTTCTCCATATTACACTGAGCACTTTTGCTACTGGTACTTTATATTTCTTTATAAATATTGAATTCCAGTTATAAAAATCTGTTCTAGTATCTTTGTTCTTGGTTGGTTGAGCTCAACCACATTTTCCTGGTTGAGCAAAAATATTAAATTCCAAGTAGTTCTATGTTTAATTATTTCCAGGTTGACTTCCTGTTAAAATACTATAGTTTGTTATTTCCCCTTTGAAACTGGGTACAGGGAAGCCACTTCCAGGGAAGACTTCCAGGGACATCAGGCACCAAGTGTTCTAGATCACGTAGGCAATTCTCTTAACTGCCCTGAATTCAATCATTGCATTTGGTGGAATGCATATTAAAATAATTATCTTTGTTTACTCTGCCTCGATTCTAAGTACCTGTACTTATCTACCACCACATTTGTACACTTCAATGTACATGGAAGGTCTTCAAATATATAAACCTGCTATGCCATGTGATATATTTACTTTATATAATTATATTTTTTGTATCCAGACCTCAACTGCCCATGTAATCCCTTGCATAGGTTTCTGTAACAACTCCAAATACTGTACTGTATTGCACTCGTCTCAGTGAGGAAGCCGTTTATGAGAAGTTAATATTTTGTTTGCTTTTAGGCCTTGTATGTAGGCAAAGATAAATGAGGATTAATTGAATTAAACATTTTTCAAGTGAGATCCATTATTGTACTAGTTTAGACATGGGTATAAAAAAAATAATTAAAATTCATAAAATAGATTTGAGAGATTTGTACACAGTAGGTACCATAATTGCAGAAAGTAATTTGTACTTTTTAAGAATTAAGAATGTAAAACTTAAAATAACTAGGATATTTTCATATATGAAAAACTTTAGAACAATCATTTTATAGAATTACAGATCAATGAAATAAGTTTCAAAAACTGTTATGCAATAGCTTATGTTTTTAGCAGACAGCCAGGTGGGACCCCCCCCCCCCACTTACCTGAATGATTTCTTCTTCTTTACCTTCTTTTCCGTCTTCTGCTCCTCTTTTTTGTCCTTATTTTCCACTTCCTTACTTTCTTCTTTATTAGCTTCATTTTTCTCCTGAAACAAAGAACAATCATGTAAGAATTTTTGTAGAGTAAACTATCCAACTCTAATGTCACAATCTATTACATAATTTCACTATCAGATCATGGGGATTATCACAGCAATTTCCTCGCTAGCACAGAAGGCAAGAGCAGCAGAACGCAGCAAGAATGTGTTTTGGTGGGAGTCTTGAGAAATCAATGGAATCTTTACATCCCACTGTATGCTGGGATAATCAAGACCTATGAACTAAACAGAAGCCTTCCACAGCAGTGATAAGAGATCTCATAAGCGAGGAGAGACTCTCCTACGCCGTGGTGGTTCAGTTATACTGTGCGTTTGATTTCCAACAGGAAGCGCTTACATTATTTTTTTTGCAGTAAACAAAAATTGCAATAGCAGAATATAATAATTTAGTATCGACTGAGGTGAAACCATAAACAAACACGTACGCGTGGCAGCACCAACAAATAATTATCAAGCTAAACAGGACGAACACTTGAGCGAAAACAAAACAAAAAATGTACCGTAAAGAAGCAACAGTGTATTAACCCTGAAACGGCTTGCGGTAAAAAAAAAGTCATCTTAGTGCACATGAACAAAAAAAATTATACATTAAACAAAAACAAGATGGCACTAAGTGATGCAAGCAGTAATCGCAGAGCGCGACTGAGGCCGTTCAAGGGTCAAACAGTAGTGTAACTGCAAAACAACACATATGGCATGTATAAATTAAAGCGAAAAACAAATAAGCAAACGATTAATAGCATAAACGGCATGATTTGGAGTATGGCTCCTTGACAAGCGACCTCTCACATACCTTCCCAGGTTGTCAAGATGCCATCGTCTCCAGGGGTCCAGAGGCACTGCTGCTTCACACCAATAAAACATCAATTAGGCAGTTTGATTTTAGCATCCAAGGACCCACGTCCGAGGCAAGGTTGCAACTTTGTAATCATCGTCGTCAGCTTCACACGAGACGCCACCCACATACGTATGCTCGGTACTACAACACTGCACACACTGCCTCTATCATTATCACACTATGCCGGAAGCTTAGCCGTACAAGTACTGTACTTGCTTTGGTGTATGTAAATAAACTGTTACACATTTTGCTGACTTTGATCCCTCATATGGTGCAGTTACTTAAATAGGTATTACATCAAGCTGAACGTGTTTAATCAAATGAAGACTAATCTGGTAGGGCGACTGGAGTACAGGAGAAAACGGCTAACAGTGACTGGAGCAGTGTAAGGATTAACACGTTTCCAGCAAGAATAACCTGAGGGAAGAACTTTTTTTTTTTTACTTTAAAACCTATAATCCTAACCACTTTATGATTGTACACTGTTACAAGTGTCTGCTGGAGATAATATATCAGTGTGTTGGTTAAGTGGGCCTACATAGACAAACAGCCTCACAGACCAGTTAATCGCCAGGGAAGGTTTGTCCACAGGCCAGGCAGGCTGTGCGAGTAGAACTAAATATTCACCAGGGGTCGTGTTTTATACCTACCTCTTTAACTTCAACTTTTTGGGGGTCTATTCCATACCTACTTAATGGGGGGGGGGGTCTGGGAGTAGTTTACTCCAAGCCCGGCCCAAGGCCAGGCTTGACCTTGGAGAGATTGGTCCAACAGGCTGTTACTTGGAGCGGCCCGCATGCCCACCACAGCCAGGTTGGTCCGGCACTAAGAAAATTATCTGGTTTTCTCTTGAAGAGGTCCACGGTTGTTCCTGCAATATTTCTTGCACTATACTTTATGGGAGTATGTTGAACAACTGAGGACCTGTTCTTCAACATACCTTAAACCTTTAATTGGTTCCGAGGAATAATGCCTCTAATAGCCCAGTCTTCAGCCAGGCCTCCCAATTGATGGTGTGGTCAGGCAGGCTGCTGGACAAAACACGAAATATGACAAAAGCATCACAGTCCAGTCTTGCAGGCAACACCTCTAGCAGCAAGAGGGGCTGGAGCGAGAGTTCCTATACCCCCCATGCCCGGCCTGAAGCCAGGCTGGTCTTGTCATTACTTTGTAAAGCTATTCCTTGCATGCCAGTGTGCGCTTCCGGATCTAAACCCACATTAGCCAGAATTATGTAACATGACTCGGTGTTTTGTCATTTTCATCCTTGGCATTCTTATATACACATTTTTTCCCCTGTTGATGCTAGCGGCAATTTTTTTTATTTTGTTTATTTTTTTGTTTATCAGGTACCTGTCTCCAAATGTTCAGGGTATAACATTATGTTCATATACTAGTGCCCAGGGCACCACCCCTCCCACGACAACACTGACATCAGTACCCCTCCCCCCCACACTTAACTCATAAATAGAACAAACTTTAAATTGCTGAGGACCTTTTGTTTAAAAATATATGCCTGCCACTGCATGAAACTACAGATTGTGGAAAGGCGGGGCTCAAGAGCATACTCTACCCAAGCGAGTACATCCAGGCTTCTATCCCACGGTCTGCTTCCACTGTCATTATCCTATTCCATCGCATGGCATCCCACCACCACCCCCATCACTTGCCACTCGTTGTGTGGCACATTCCATCCCCTCCCCCCCCCCACACACACACTATCAAGTTCACTAGAGCGAGTCGTCAACTCCTCAGAAACTTCCACTGTGAATCCTGCGTCTCTTCCTTAAAATAGAACCAAATTGTTACCGCTGAAGTCTCTTAATTATCTGTCCGAACCCAAAAGTCAAGAAATTGTTCCCGGCCCCATTACAGGAGGAAGGCGGCCGTAGCGGTTATAGACGACTCAACAGACTGATGGCTCGTAAACACAGGCCACTATAGTGAAGCTTTGGTAGCCAACCTGCCCTTGCCAGAGGTCCCCCTCGACTGAGACTGACATGATATCCGAAGAGGCCCCAAGGTGATGTTTGAACACTTTCCAAACTTGTACCATCCACAAAACTATGACGTCGTACCGTGTTCACATTCTTTCAGCGCTGCCGAGTTTCCTTGTCAGGTGGTAGCACCTAGTCAAGTGTGGTGGTGGACCTGAACACAGTATTCCTTGGGACCACTCAGGAGACGCTAAGGGCTTACAACAAGGGCTGTGATCTTAGTATTAGGTAGCTTGTAAAGAGAAGCGGCACCTCACGCCGCCTTCCAAGCCTGCGATGAACGCGGGGTAGGGAAGGAGGGAGGGAAAGTGAACCGGGAAGGATAATGCGGGGGGGGGGGGCGTTGATTACAGGACGACACTAAACGACCCCCACCGTCCTCACCCCCCCCCACACCACCAACTTTACCTTACTCCTTACACAAAATGTCGAGGCCTTCTTAAGACCCATGTCATTCTTTTCTCTCGTCTTTATTTACCCTACAGTTCACCGTTGCATATAGTTAGGCACCCGTTATACCAGGGCCAGGGTTCATCAAGCATTTACACAACCACTTAAGAACGTACAAGTTAAGAAATTGGTATTATCATGGCGGCTTTGTTCACTTTAAACAGATATGAGCACCGAGGCACCTTGAAGTTGTTAATAATAATAATAATAATAATAATCTTGCTTTGTTAAGTTTCCAAGCTCTTAAATTTATTAATAAATGTAAAGAAAGACGCCATGATTAAGGGAAGATGTATAGGTTTCGTAAGTAATTCGGCAAATTCTTTATGAATCCTGTCACTTCATGCTGGGGCACCGTTTCCTGAACACATTCCTTATTCCTTGTACACACACAGGCAGCTATAGGAGAGGAGCCAGCCAAACACAGCTGTGGGAAGGAGTGTGTTCTTAGCCAGCAACCCAAGAGTCAAGCCGGCCCTCGTCGGTAAGCAGCATTATCCAATGTTTCAACACTTAAACACTTACACAAATTGCCCGCCACACACGCACGCACACTTACACACTACACGCTACACGCTCCCACGCCGGCGAGTACACACTTGACAAACACCGCCAACGTCGGACGAAGACACCAGGAACCGTCGTCTCTGGCCCTCAACACCACCACCGCTTGTACCATAATGGGGCTCCGTATCGTCACCGGAAGTGAGAGCCTCACGACCCCAAGGCTGAGATGCGGACAGGAGACCGCAGGCAGCGGAGTATACCAACCTGGTTGACCAGACCGCAGGCAGCGGAGTATACCAGCCTGGTTGACCAGACTACCTACCAGGAGCGCGGGGACACGACTCCCCGGAACCACCACAAGGTGGGTAATCTAATTTGTTGACAATGAGAACCTGGCGGTTGGTTAAGTGGGGCTCACCGACGATGCTTAAAATCATCACTTCAACGCTGTCAACACCGGAATGCTCGACTCCTCACGATGGCTTTACTGCTGTACGACATCTGCACCAGCACCCTCCGCCAACCCCAGCCCAGCTCCCTAAAATGATGGTACTTACAGTAACTATTTGGTCGTAAATACCAATATGTAGTGACGGACCCAAGAAGTTGACTTTTGTCCGAGACAATTTTTTTTGTTTTAACGGCAACAGTTATAAGACGGAAGCTAACCGCTGCCAGCCAAGAGCTAACACACGCTACTACACATAATATAGTACCATGTGCTATATACTTTGTGGGGGTTTTCAGGATAAAACCGTGAATTATGTAGTCCATCGCTACATATATTAACTATTTGGTCGAAAATCCCACTAAGTATTACCATTTCAGGACCGTGAGTTGATCAAACCCCGCCATCACCACCATCTTTGTTTAGTAAATTGTAAAAAAAAAAAAAAAAATCCACCATCCCGCCCCCCTTCTCTTCGCCAGTCTTCTACACCCGTCCCCTCTACACCCACCCTCTCGGCCATGCCAGATATGGTGACACGACTGGCTGTAAGCAAGCAAGCACTCCGTCGGCGTTTATGCTATCCAAACCACAACAGCCTGATGAACCATCAGCGTTTTTCCGGCAAACATCTGACTGCGAGGAATACTATGAACAGCGTGTCGGTTACATTCATCGGACCGTTGACCCGGCATCGCGAGGTCGCGTTTTATAAACAATAACGTTTTAGATACTACCCGACCCCCTA